AGATCACAAGTGAAAACATTTGATCAAATTGCAAATTGAATCGACATGCTAAATATCAATGAAAATGATACATGGGTGACAGGGATATAGTAATATGGCCACAAATAAAAACAGCCGTTATGCGGCTATCTTTGATCTGATTATGAAACAAAGGTGACATGTATGATGTATGTGCCAAATATGAATGAAAATGGTACATAAATCTTGGAAATATAGTAGTAATGCCAAAAAGTCAGATGGCTGTCAATCTGCCATCTTTGATCCGATTTTGAAACAAATTGTCATGGACATGTATCCTAACATGTATAAAAAATGTGCCAAATTTGAATGAAAACTGACAAAGTATGTCTAAGATACCACATTTGAAAAAAACAAACAAGATGCCTGCCAGTCAGCCATCTTTGATCCAATTGCGAAAGAAATTGTCATGGACATGTATCCTAACATGTATGATCCACAGTACAGTTCTCGCGAAAGCTTTGGCTTCACTTCAGCTTCACTTCAGCTTCACCTTCGCTTCAGCATCGCATCATTATGGCATTGTTATGGCTTCAGCATTGCATCAATGTCGCGACATTTAAAATTTAGGCGGTTATCGCTTAGCTTCATTGTGGCCTCATTATGGCGACAATGTGGCATTAGCATCGCTTCATCAAACAAAGTACAGAACTCATTTCGCCCAATCTCTCGCCTGCTTCCGCTTTTCAATCGCTCGCTTTTGTGACCGCTTGTTGAATTTCCACTTTATTTTCGACTGTGCAGAACTTCGGACTACTAACAATTTTCTGGTTTTCATATCACGATTAATAGTTTAGTAACCGTGCAAAGATGTTGAACAACCGTCAAAAGTTCAAATACTTTTTGTTTTAACTATATAATTATATGCACGCAATCTGACCCTTTGACCTAGATTTGGCTGGGATTTGACCTCATTTCAAAAAAAGGAGAAAAAAAAACTGGGCTGAGATACAAATCAATTTTGCAAGTTTGGAAATAAGGTAAACCAGATTGGGGTCGATGATATTCAGTATCTAAGGACTTCCGTGTGTATCATGAGTTTCAAATTGTACATCGACTGGTCACCAAAAATTTATGGCTACAACTAAATGAACACATTTTTTTCAAGTGCTATTCGATTTTTTACAGGGCAGCTTCAATTTTCAATGACGCGAAGCTGATGCCACAATGATGCGATGCTGAGGCGACAATGAAGCCATGCGTAGGCGACAATGATGCCACAAAAGCCAAAGCTTCCACGAGAACTGTACTGTATGTACCAAGTTTGAATGAAAACTGACAAAGCATGTCCAAAATACAACATTTTCAAATCAAAGAAAGCTTAGAAAGAACTCCATGAGCTGATAGTATTGAAGACGCATTAAATATAATTCAAAATTACTTGTACTTGATTGAGATAGTGATGGAAAAGCTGAAAACTAATAATGCAAATCAGAAAATTAATATAAACAGATTTGAGTGTAAAACTAATGAGGTCTGCGCAATGTGACAGACCATCCTATGTACAAAGTTTTACTGAAATGTGATTGGAACAAAAAAAAATTATAAATTAATATAAACAGATTTTAACCCCAAACTAATCAGGTTTGTACATTGCCCTAGAGCATCTTTAGTATCAAGTTTCATTGAAATGGAATAATTAGTACTTAAGAAATCAGTGTAAAAGCTGAAAATTAATTAATTATGCAAATTAGGTAATTAATATGCCCAATTATTTACCCTAAAACTAATCAGGTCTTTGGATAGTCCTAAAAAGTCTATGTACCAAGTTTCATTGAAATGTGATGATTAGGACTTAAGATATCTGTGAAAAAGCTGAAAATGAACTAATTATGCAAATTAGGTAATTAATATGCACTGATATTACCCTAAAAACTATCAGATCTGTGCAATGTCCTATGACATCTATGTACCCAGTTTCATTGAAATGTGATGATTAGAACTTGATCAGTGGAAAAACGGAAAATTCACTAATCATTATGCAAATTAGGTAATTAGTAATTAGGTAATTTTTACCAAAAACTAATCAAAACTTAGCATTAGTTCAGAGCATCTATGTACCAAGTTTTATCAAAATCCAAT